CACGACGCTTCCTCTCGCTTCGCCCTCGCTCGAAAATCTTTCGACGCAACGAAAATCGATGTCGACGCCGTTGGATGTCGGAGAGGCGCGACTCTATTCCTCTCTCCTATATAATATCGATTCCGTAAGATCGCGTATTAGTAACGTCGAGATTATACAAGTGTATATTCCTGGGAGAGAAAGAGATTAGAAGTTTTCTATAGATTTTTTTTTTATTCCGAAAAAGGCATACATTGTAAAGTTTAGTCGTCTCACTCTTCGGAGCAACGTTTCATCAAGTGTATGTTATTTCGCAAACTATTCTTGCATCCGAGATTTAAGGTTAATGGGGAGATTGAAGTTAGTAGCACGTAGTAAAATATCTAAGATAATCGCAGAGTCGCGTATTCGAATGAAGCGGATTTATTTGTCTAGATAAATTCGGAGCTTCCTTCTTGTCTCGACATCTAATCAGGGATTGATGGAGCGTAACCTTAACACGAAAATCGGAAACCGTTACAGTGAGTCGCGCGCGTCTCGAGTTTTAATTATTCCATCGTTCCGCTTTGTTATATTCGTGAGCTTGTTAACATAATCCAACTTATTATTCAAGGCAACATTGATTTGAAAAAAAAAAGATCAATATAAAGTATAATCTCACGCGAAAGGAAACTATACGATATCAAGATCTGAAAGTGATAACTTTCACATTAAAATTGGCGTCTCTAATTTAATAAGAATTAAGTCTGATTGGTTCAAGTTTACCTATGCATCGCGATACGATGAGTTGCTACAAACTACAACGGTCGTTTCTATGGCCTATATGCAGCCTTAATTTGAAAGCCCTATTTTTAGATCTTTCGGTAAATTGCTACTAACGAGGACTCCCAACGAGGTCTCGCAACGGGGACATCCCGATGTGTAATCGTCCGTTTCTTTAACAATTATTCGAGAACGTAGAAATTTAGAAAATTGAATCGGGAGAGAAATGCGTATGTATTTTTATTAAAATGGATACATCTCTAATTTGGTGATTATTTTGTAATTGCAGAATTGACTCCCGAACAACAAAAGATCCTGATAGATATCAGACGGAAGAAAACAGAGTTGCTGCTCGAGATACAAGTGAGTATGCTCTATTTCGGCTACAATTTTATTTTATAAGAACACCAGAGAGAGAGAGAGAGAGAGAGAGAAAGTAACGTAGCTTCTATCTAAGATCTAAAAAATGGAAAACTATTAGAGTGCAACTTTGAATGTTAATATCTCTGAATATTTCTCCGATTGTTATTAAAAACTACATAATCGTTCAAAGTATGTTAAATTTCTGAGATAAATTTTCTATATTGATTAAATATTTAATACTTGATCACTTTTGCACGATCAATATCATTAATCAGCCAGTTAAAGCGACATAAGTATTTGTTAAGTCTTTCAAGAGGATATAATATAATGACATTTCGCTATTTAATTAATATATGCTTAAAAATGTACGATATTAAAAACTTACCTTCTCGAAAAAAGGGAAAATAGGATGCCAAGTGCATTGCGAGGAAACGATGAAATAGTATAATATTTCTTTGTACAATTTAACGGGCGCATGCACTTAGCGTCCTTTTCTACTTTTTTTTTTTTTTTTTTTTTAAAGATAATATACCCGATAGCAATTGTAAATATGATAAAAAACGAGTTTCGGGCGCCGAATTTTTACGAAATATTATATCTTCTCCGTGAATGGTGTGAATATCATTCCTCAAAAATTTATATACCCGTAAAAAAATAATACATATATAATTAATAGAATGCGGTATGTGAAATATCGCGTCTATCGCTCGCGTTTATCATTCGTAGATGCAGCGGCACAAAATGAGCCTGTTTTACCAGTGTATTGTGTCCCGGGTAGATCTATACTCGCGATAATGCTATTTAAAAATTTCATATTTTCTCGCTGATATCATCAACTCTCCTTTTTTTATAATTTCGACAGGTTTTTTTGATAAATCAAACAAACAAATAAACAAACAAACATGTCCTACATGTGAAAAGAATGATAATAAAATAATATTCATATATTCGAATATTTGAGATCTGTTTTTTTTTTTTTTTTTCTTACGAGTTATTTATTACGAGTCTTTCGAATTTATGTACAAATTGCTTAACAATGCAAAGAAATAATTAAATTGTTTGTTAGACTATTTTACTGAAATATCGTGTATTGAAAAAGAGAGAAAAATTATTTTATTCCGTTATAATTTTCGATTAATTTTAGCAAATGAACGTTTTTCTTTGTTTTTATCATGGAAATTATTTTATGAAGCTATGAAAAAAATTATTTCTATTTCTCGCGTTGCGTATCATAATGCAGCGATTAATGCAGTAAATATAACGGCGTATGTGTGGTTCCATAAGAGCGCTCATCTGTGTACATAGTATTGTATATATGTATATGTGTATATAGCCAGAAAACTTCCAGGATGTTCTTACGATAAAACCGTTTCCGCAATGACAATGATAGTCTTGCTTACTCATCTGTTTGTAAGCTGATATCTATTCAACGAAATGTTACGCGTGGTTGGAGATATCACGAGCATTCGTAGATTTCAAAAAAGAAAAATATTATAAAACCATGTCGCTACGATTCTGCGCGAAAATCTGGTTTCCGGGTTTCCGTATCTTCGACATTGCTCCGTTCGAATTTACGCGCTCGTTATTTCTTCTAGTTGTGAAATTCGGGATATATAAACAGAATCGCAAGTCACACACACGAGCGTCGAAGGCATCTGTGTACAGTTTATCGCGACCGATATAATATCCTATAATTTGCGACAGATAAATGCGCAGAGATAAATATAGGGACGTGAAAAGAATCTTAGTTTCGTCGTTGTTGCTCTAGTAATTGTTAACGCTTCAATGATACGAAACTCTTACACATTTCGAGGCAGTCGGAACAGATCCGGGGTACACTGGTTGTGTTGGTCGAATTGTCTTGGTATTCGAAGCAGACGCCGTCAACAGGTGACGCACAATTAATAGTTTCTTGTATGAATGACATTTCTTATCATTGAAAAGTTGACGCGTTAGTTCAGATTAGATCGTTACTTGTGTCAATAATGCTGACAATTACTTTTTGCAAACAAACAACACGTACAATTAATTTATTGTCGTTGATTCTAACGGATTAATTAATTGGAGATATACGCTCTATAAGATCTCTTAGAATCTTGTTTTTTTTTTAGTTAGTCATGTTTTTTTCGGTTGAATTTACGTTAAGGGAAAGCTGCTACAAAGTATGGTGCATAAAAGGTTGGGAATTAATGCAAATTAGCGATGTGAGAAATATGTCAGTGGATCTTGAACGTTGCCTCCTTTTTTTCTCCAGCTTGATCGATCGCACGAGTATTATAATATATATTCGCCAAGAGTTTGATCTTTCGACAAATTCTACAAGGAAGTTAATAATAATTTATTATAACGTATAATAATTAATAGTATAATATATAACATATAATATATAATTGCCTCGGGAAATCTCGTTTCAGAAATTTCTATATACTTATACATTATGTAGACACACATACATATATACTTTCACGTTTGATATATAGAAATTGAATTAATCGCATGCGTGCAAATAAATATTTTGACAAAAACATAAATCTTGTATTTCTTGAAAGCATTTACAAAAATTGTTGGTTATAATAAAGAACAATTGGTGTGACGCATATACGTATAAATTATACGTGGCATAAATAGTTTCCAGGAAAAATAAATGCAGTTGACTATTAACTGACACATCTATTTCATAATAATATCAATGAGCCAACATTATTCGTTCCACTCTTTATACGCGTTGATCGAATAATCGTCGCGATTTGATGCATTATATACTTTATTAAATTGTGTAAGCGCAATAATCGCGTAATCTAATTAATCAATATAAAAATACCACCCTACGTTTAGATTTTTGTGTTATTTACGTACGCGGCTAAAAAAGAATTCTCGGTCATTTTTAAAAAAGGATCATCGATATAATTAGGGCGTAAAAGCTTTTATTTGAATAATTTTCATTGTAATAATTAGCAGCTCGTGGAAATATGATTCACGTTTTCGTCATCCGCTTAGTCAATTAATAAGTAATCGATGAATTCGTTAAAAGCCTTGAGACTCGATGAAATGGAATAGACATTAAGAACAATCTATTGGATCGACCACATTTAATTGTAGAAAATAAACGATATTGAAAGACATGTAGCACAAATGGATTATCAATTACGCATTTTCAATGCGAGATTACGCTCTTACTTGATCACGATCGCGCGATTAACATGCGTATGCATGCGAAATAGGCGTGTGTAGCAGGGCTATCTTCTTGCAGCCGACCTTGTAACATGTGTAGCAAGTGCATCGTCGAATTCCGAATCATATTGGATGTCGTTGCTCGGAAAAAGTCGAAGACCACGGTTCGTTATATCTGTTATAGATAATGTATGCTCCGTTTTTTTTTTGTTTTGTGTACGACCTTTGACCATCTTTCGGACCGTTTAAAATAATCTCGTCTCCCTGAAATTTTTTTATCTTTCTGGGCGAAAAACTGGTCCAGGCGGAAATTTTACAAAAGTCTCTCTCCAGAATATATTGTCTGCGAAGCAAGATAGCATCAGATTCTGAGTCATCATCGTCAAAACTCGACGTGAAATATCGTTAGTATGCGCGCGAGTTTTATGAGAGATTTTTCGCATAACTCTACGCGATATAGTATTTATACGTATATATATATATATATATATATATATATATATATATATATATATATATATATATATATATATATATATATATATACAGCGGATGTTTCTTGGAAACGTGCGTTTCACAATGATTGCAAATATTTGCGCGCGAGTACAAACGGCAGCCGCAGCGAGGCGCCAGTGTGCGGCAACCGCCGCGCGCCGCGCCGTAACTATCAACTACAACGGGTAACAGCCGCAGTTGCGGGGAGTCGCGTGACGGCGGCGGACGTGCTTGCCGGCTCGCTTGCCAGTCGGTTTCGTTCGGTCGGTTGTGGTTTATCGCGCTCGAAACGTGTCGCCTTTATCTTCCCTGTGAAACGCATTACGCACTTGTTGCCTTTCACGTGACGCGATTATTCATTTTAATGGTACGCGGTACGAGGAATTTCACTTTCCCACGAGTATACACGAAAACCGGGAAAGAAGCGCGCACGGTCGCGGGTATATAATTATATAAAGCGTGCTTTTAAAAGAGTCGTCGTCGTCGTCGTCGTCATTGTCGCCGCGCAGGTCGGTCGTTGCACTTCCGACCGCGTGCTCGGTGACCCTTGTACCTCGTCTATTCTTGTTGGGGTCGTATATGTATAACGCGAGCCATGTTACGTTTCGATCGTGACCAAGACGGTGAACGATGCAGAATTGTGCAAAGTGCGTGTCGTTTACCGTCTAGGAAGACTGGACACGCAAAGTGAGGGAGCTTTTCGGGAGCTCGCGAAGATCCGACCGATCAAAGAGTGCGCGGTGCGCCGGGAAGATGATCTTCACCGGCAGATCGGTGGACGCTCTCGACGAGATGCGCGGCACCGGTACCACACCAGATGGTGTCCGTCCAACAGTGGACGGTGGACGCCGAGACGCGAGTGCGGTCGCTATCGCTGCCGGATGGTTCTCCAGTTTGCGGAGACCCGGCAAGAGAAACAAGAAGAGCTTGAATCAGAAGCAGGCTAAGAGCGCCTGGGATCTCAGCGTCTTGTCCACCACGGTTAGTCACCCCACGACGTATAAGATGAATTATTTTAAATTCGTCGATTAATCGCGGAATTGCGACGCGTTACCGCGGATCGCAAATTGTATAGCGACATGTACAAAGGTACGCACACCGCCACCATCCTCCAAGGCTAACTCGTGCCAATTCGCCCGATTTATTTCTAGATAGGTTTAGTTCGCAGCGTTGCCTCGTCGAAACCTATGTAAAGTGATAGATATTTAAGAAGCGTACGGTGAAGAAGAAGTTTACTCAAAGAGTCGTAAAATTCTTAGTAATGTAAGAATCTGTGATTTTACAAACGAGAATGACGTCATCGTTACAAAGTTAATCGTTTAGTAGATTAGTCTACGTAAGAATGTTGCTTTAAAAGATATTACACAAGTTAAAATTTCATTTATATTCAAGAGTTTGCTCGCGGAATAAAATCACAGCGCGATGCTTTAACTCGGGCTGCGACATCCGTCTTCGTGACTCGTTTCAGGGTCAAGAATCAAATGCAAAATAGATGTTGATCGTTTCTGCCCGCGTGAATGTATGAGATTACATACACGTGCATGTAATCGCGCGCGCATGCTCTATAACGAGAAGCTAGAATCAAAACCGTTTGGTGATTCAATTTTTATCGGTGACAGCGACTGCAACTGCGATCGAATGTCTGTCATTAATGATTCCTCACAAAGATAATAAAGTAGTATTACTCCGCGTGTCGCGTGACGTCACGAATTGAAGATTGTAGACCGAGTCGGGGAGACTTATTTATAGCTGGAACCAGGACGTCCACATTTTCGATGCGCCCGCTATCGATATATATATATATATATATATATATATATATACACATCACATATAATTAATATTATATACATATACATTTGAATTTACCTTTTTCTCCTAGCCTAGATAATGGGAGAAAAAAAGAAGACGGAACAAAAGGAAGAAAAAATTATTACGCACATTATAAAATTTTAATCTTTTCATGTGTGTATTTCTATATATATATACACTTATATTTTAATACGAGAGATTTTGTTTATAGAATAAAATATATACGACTCTCGGGTGTATACGCGACATGGAAATAGCAAAGTGCCTCTTGACGATAGCGTGATTTATCTCGAGAGTGTAACGCGAATAATTTTGCTCTGGCAATTAATTCATTTATTAATTATATAAAAAGTAATGGATCGAATCTAATGTTCCGTGACCCCCCTCTTCTCTCTCATCTTTTTTTACCTACATTCGCGCCATTTACTACCGATAAAAGAGATTAGTCGGGTCAGTGATAGACGGATCGACTCGTTCGAATTCGGTGACACGAATACAACGACACGATGAGCGCGAATGGATCGCGATGGTTGTGTTAACGCGCGCGTATATATACGCGTAACGATAGATTTAAATAGCTTACTTTGACATGTCTTTCACCCGGGGTTGTATCCATTTACATGCTAAGGGAGATAAATATAATTCTCGCAAGATGAACGAGGCGAGTTTGTGACCGGCCGGCCATTCGACCCATATATCCCCGAGAGCGTACTATTACGAGGGAAAAAAGTTACGGCGATGTAATCAACCAAAGTGGGTTATGCAAATCGCAAATAAAACAAGAGTGTAAAGTAAATGCTCTTTGTGTTGGCGACATTCAATCGTTGGTTCGTCCAATCATACGATACGATCGCACACGACGTGTAAGCATATGTACAGAGAAAGAGAGAGAGAGAGAGAGAGAGATAGAGTTTATCTCGTATAACTCGTTCGACTAGACAGCGAATTAACGAGAAGCCGTTCCTGATGCGATGCGACGCGACGCCTAAGTAACCGGATACTCGCTATTTGCACACCTAATATACGAACATTAACGCGAGCGCGGTCGGCGAGAATCAATGTGCATTGTTGATCTAATGACTAATCGACAATTTGCGTGCCCGCTTACTTCCTATTGATTCATTCAGCTGCGTCGCGTCGTGATATCATTATCGTTTGCGCGTTCAAACAGGGTGTCTACTCCCTGGGAAAACATGAAAAACCTCGAATTTTCAGGCATTTCTCATGCAATTTTATTGGCACTCGAAAAATTAAAAAATAATTTCTCTCTTTGACAAATTTGTCGTTATATTGCGAGCAATCGACAATACGCTGACAAATTGTGAATTATGTGTTTAAAATATATTATAAATATATATCTATATATTTGTTTATTCAATATGCAGTAAATATTCTATTTGATAAAAATCTTCAAAATATTCTCTTTACTTCAAATTTTGAGCAAAAACACTTGGAAGATTAGGGAATTTTTTTACAAGATTTGAGTAATCCTATGAAAGCTAATCGGTCGAAGCTAAACGCGTCCTCTCTCGCGTTTCTTTCCAATGGCCTAAACGTCTCCTTGTGTGTTTTAGATTCTTTTACAATAGTAGGAAATAGAGAGGACTTTTGCGTTACATAGGAGACCGCGAAATCCTACAAGTTCGAGTCATTGTTCGTTACACTTGAGTAACGGAAAAACTTTCATCGACGCACTTGTACGCGCTCGCGTTTCTTCCGCGGATTCGTAACTCCTGGATAACGGCCAAGCGCACGGTTCTCTTCGGCTTGGAGAAACCGCGTAGAATTTGGCGCGCTTGGCCGCTCTCCAATTACAATTCCCAGTCACGTGATCGCGATCTTGTTAGATGAAACGCGTGAAAAATTCTTTCATTTTATATTTCGTCCTTTTACGATTGATTTTATCTATTAGCCTCACAGTTACTTAAAAATAGAAAAACGAACATTGTGTTTTTGTTTAAACTAGCAGTTGAAATTAAAACGGATTATTGTGCGGTCTTTGATCATATAGTTTCACAAAATATTGCATTATTTTATCGGGTTTCGTATATTTTTCAAGTATATGTAAAGTATAATCTGTGTATGTATGTGTGTTTATTATGGGTAAAGAGAGAAAGTATATAGATGCTTATAAGATATTTAAAACCCCAGGATATATTCGTATTTCGTACAACGTCCATGACACGGTTATATTATCTTTGCATAGTCGGCACTACAAAATCATCGTATACATCGTAGCATTCGTCGAAATTAATACGTGAATGGCCTGTTCCACATGAATGTAATATCAGTCTTAAATTCTGACAAAATTTTCAGCACGATACTTTATTTTATTAACGATTATCACATAACTCAATCTCGCATATTTATAATAATATGCTGTTTATATTTCTAGACGATCGATTATTTCGGTTGGTTCGAAAACAATCTAAATATATCTATGTATCAAGGTGTCTATTCATTGGAAAAACATGGAGAATCTGGCATTCTCAAGAACCATTTTTTTTGTACATGGAAAAGTCAGGTAATTCTCATGGAATTTTGTTACAAGTCGGAAAATTTTTTTAAAAAACGATTCTCTCCGATAATTTATTGTAATTTCTAGTAATAAAAAAAAAATAAAAATATTATACAAGTGAAAAATGTTACAAAAGCTATAAAGTTTTTTCCAGTAAATTTTCAAATCTAGTATTTGAAACTTAAGTAGCTCTTTTTTTTTCCTTCGTATGAATGAAAAACATTAAAAAACGCCCACGATAAAAAAACTTGTTTTCAGAAATTTGCATTAAAACAAATCTCTAAAAAATTCTCTTTGCTTAGAATAAAAAAAAAAAAACGTGGGATATAAGGGAATTTTTTTACAAGATTTCAGTAGACACCTTGATGTATTCGCGATAAAGCGAATTGTAATTCGAGTCTCTATTAGTTGGTGACAAAGAGCGAGAATATATGATAACGATATTATGCACAATGCGTACCGTAAAACATAATTAGCTTTCGTGACAACGCACAGCCTAATGAAGCGCTAAATCACCGCACAGGCATGCAGTTTGTTCGTGTACGACTTTTATGACGCGGACTAGTTGCAAAACCAGCACATATGCTGGTCTCTTACTTGTCTCGGTATCAGCTGGATAAAGTATGTAGCATCTAATCGAACAGCAACTTTCGCTCTTGGTTTAACCAAGACCGTTTACGCCGCATTGAGATGAAAGAGATACTATGAATGGTGGATACCATTCACAAGCGAAGATTGTGATGGTGCTCCATAAGTTTTGCGCGTTACACTTAATTACGCGCGACTTTGTTGGCGACAGCGCGGCTGTGGCTTTGAATTTTTTTACAAGATTTAAGTAGACACCGTGAAAAATAAAAGTATGTACGCCAAATGTATAATTTTGTCGTAATTGTCACGTTGCAATCACGCGAGAGATATTCGAGAGAGACTCGAATATGTTCGAGATGGAAAATACTTTTGGGGATATAAAGGAGATACTCTGCACACGCGAGATATTTCAAGTAACGAGCATAGTACTAGTAGTTGTCGCGCGAAGTAATCTTCAACTTCTTCGTATATGAATGCGGATGCCCTTCGCTTCGCTTCTCGTTTCGCAGGAAGGAAGCTAGCTAGTTGAGTGTTGAACTTTCGATCGATTGTACAGGACGCGTTACGCGAACGACAGAAATAGAACGGAATAAGGCAATCATTCCGTGCGGGTCGAACGGTAAAAGGGAAACGTACAACGTGCGTCGATTCAAAGGCGAATACGCACTTTTTTTTCGACGAAATGAGAGAAATTTGCACGAGCCATTTAACGAAACCTGTCTGTCCCTGATAGGTATCTTGACAAGCGAGATCACTGGCGCATTTTACTCTGCAAAAATTATATATATATATTGTGATGTAATGGATTAAACGATTAAAAAAAAAAAAAATATATATATGAAATAAGTATACATACGACCGCGAGGTACGCTTAGCATTGCTAATTAACGCTTTGTCATCATTGAATCGAGATACGAGCGGCGAGGAATCGTGCGAGAGTTCCTGCTCAAGGTTTTCAAATGAATTATCGACAAGGAGAAAATGAAGACTCGTTGAAAATCACAATGCGTTTGCAAGATTTTTATTAATTTATATATATATATATATATATATATATATAAATTAATAAAAATCTTGCAAACGCATTGTGATTTTCAACGAGTCTTCATTTTCTCCTTGTCGATAATTCATTTGAAAACCTTGAGCAGGAACTCTCGCACGATTCCTCGCCGCTCGTATCTCGATTCAATGATGACAAAGCGTTAATTAGCAATGCTAAGCGTACCTCGCGGTCGTATGTATACTTATTTCATCGGGTAGATTCAATATCATCTGAATATAAATATATCTGTATTAAATATATCTCTTATATAAACGAGATGAAATTTCACAAGCGGCTGGATTACGAGGGAATTTTTGCGAATGACGTAGACGCGGAAGCGAAAGAAAGTTTTTTTCCCAGCATTCAGTGCGAGTTATAATTTGTCAGGTTCACAGGGCATACCGGCTTTTTTTTTCGCGCCGTCGAACACGGCCTTCTTCCTGTCGTGAGACCGGATGTACGCCGATAAGTATAAAAGAAATGCTACTACCTAACAGACAATACTCAGGGCCGACCAGCGGCCAAGTTATTATCCTTGTTGTTATCGCGGCATCCCATTAACAAGTCTCATCGGTTAACAACGTACGACCGTTTCCGGTGTGTTGTATGTGTATGCGTGTGTGTCGGCCCTTCCTCTTTTCTGAAACTTTTTTTTCATACAGAAAGACGCAGCTCGACACAAATTTCCCCTCTTAGTTTCTTTAAAATCTCTTTCTTTACAAGATTTGTGTACAGACTTTCTGGTTAAGTGATAGTAGACTCCTGCAGTAAATTGCCGATGATAAATGTTTCGCTAAGTGTCAGTTTCTAGGTCACGCTATTAGTAGCGATAGTAGTAATGCTGCGAATGGGCGCATCGCGTTGTTATTTGCATGCATTCATCGATTTTTTTTTTTGCGGTACGACATGTATCACAACGATAAACTTTCTGCGTCGGGAAAGTCTCCTCGGAAGTAAAAATATTGGAAATATTGGCAAATATGGAAAGATAAACTGCGATACGTGGTATGACGAAGATGAGATCGTCGACGTGAGATTGGCGATTCGCGACGTAATCATTATTAACGGATACCGATCTAATAACGTTATGTGACGGCACGTGTGTGATCCTTTTAGCGCGTCTACCCACGTCTATTCGAAACCGAAAGAGATACGATCCTGCTTACTGTGGTATTCGCGGAATGTACGTTGAACTGAAACGCATGGTGGGAAATAGGCGGACGGTGTCGACCGGTATTCGAGTGAAACAGGAAGCCGCTGTTGTACCGTCTACATACACGGTCTACGAGAATCGCATCGTTCGTCGTTCCGAATCATTACGTTTCTCATTAATATTCTCCATTAATAACTTGTAAACTTTTGGTATGGTGAACGTTTTGTATCATTTATATAAACATGAAGAAATGTCCGATACTATTAATATTATATCTATGTTTGAGAGAATACAAGAGAGCTTTGGTTTAAATCATTTTTATAATTTGTTCTGAACAATCTGTTTTCAGCAACTGAAAGATGAATTGGGAGAGGTTGTCGCAGAGATGGAGGCGATGGAGGGCGGCGGACTTACGGCCGACGAGACGAAACCGTCCAACAAGGCCAAGCAGACGTCGATCGGTCGCAAGAAATTCAATATGGATCCCAAGAAGGGCATCGAGTACCTGATAGAGCACAACCTGTTGGCGCCGACGCCGGAAGACGTAGCTCAGTTTCTTTACAAGGGCGAGGGTCTCAACAAAACTGCAATCGGCGACTATCTTGGTGAACGGCACGACTTCAACGAACGGGTGCTGCGAGCCTTCGTCGAGTTACACGATTTCACCGATCTTATATTGGTGCAGGCCCTACGTCAGTTCCTCTGGTCGTTTCGATTGCCCGGCGAAGCGCAGAAGATCGATCGCATGATGGAGTGTTTCGCTCAAAGGTACTGCCAGCTCAACCCGAATATCTTCACCAATACAGACACCTGCTACGTGTTGAGCTTCGCCATCATTATGTTGAATACTTCGTTACATAATCCGAGCGTTAAAGATAAGCCCAGCGTGGAGCAGTTTATTTCGATGAACCGAGGGATTAATAACGGAGGAGATCTACCGCGAGAGCTGCTTGTGGTAGGTGGCTACTTGTAGGAGATTTTTTTAAGATATATTTTTTTGTCTTTTAATCACAAAAATTTTCGTAGCGAACATTTGCTCAGTCAAATATTCGTATCTATTTATAGAGTCTATATGAGAGTATAAAAACCGAGCCTTTCAAAATACCAGAGGACGATGGCAATGACTTGATGCACACTTTCTTCAATCCTGATAAAGAGGGTTGGCTGTGGAAGCAAGGTAACGCCTGCTTATATTCGCGTATATGATTTTTATAAAATTACTGCATCCCACACGAGAGAGAGAGAGAGAGAGAGAGAGAAAGATTCTCGATTTCTTTCTTCACGTAATACGATTTAAAAAAGAAACATACATTCATTTTCACATTCTTGCGAGCCAACAAAGACTCACAGTATTTTGTTCATGTGTCATTAGTTCAGAATTATATCTCGTATTTTTCTCGATTTTTATCACATTTATTATTGAGAGAACGCTTATTCTTATATTGTATCACTTTGTCCTTCTGCTGCCTTGACGGAGACAGCAGGTAAATAATATATCTGCGTAAATCATGGGTTCTTAATTTTATATATTACTCATTTTGTTACAGGCGGACGGTACAAGAGTTGGAAGAGGCGATGGTTTATATTGAACGACAACTGTTTATACTATTTCGAATATACAACGGATAAGGAACCACGTGGCATTATTCCATTAGAAAATATTCAGGTCCGAGAGATTCAGGACCGACACAAACCGCACTGTTTCGAATTGTATGCCGCTGGTTCCGAGTTCATAAAGGCGTGCAAGACTGACAGTGAGGGAAAGGTTGTCGAAGGTATGATTCTTCAAAGTTTAATCCCTATATTAACAAAAAGAGAATTAATATTATACACGAAGAGAAGAAGGAAAGTTTTAGTGCAGAAAAATATATTTCAACTAAATGCTAAAGTATTTATTATCTCTACTATTTGTAGGAAAACATACTGTATACAGAATGTCCGCAGCTACCGACGAAGAAAAGGATGAATGGATCAAATGTGTGCGGTAAGAGAATCGCGATTCTTTATATGTTTATACTCTATTGTGCTCTTTTACAATAAAATACAGTAAAATTGTGATCAAAATGTGTTTCGAATAAATCACATTGTTCATTTCCAGGCAAAGTATATCGCACAATCCGTTCTACGACATGTTGGCGGCGCGAAAGAAAAAGGCACAGAAAACCAATGTACATTCAAAGAGTTAAACGCTGCCACAAGCCGGGTTTCTCGGCGTATTAGAAGACTGTTTATTTCGATCAAACGTTACGTTTGATATGTATGGTATCGTAGAATACAACCCAATCATACACAATGGCGAAAATTCATTGTGAAAGCACGCCGAAAGCGTTATAAAACATGTCGGTGGAAACTAGGCACGGTGACATGACACGAAATATTGCTGCGACTGCATACATAGAATATGACATTAATATGGCATCATTCGTAGACTGAGCACGGAATATAGAATCGGCGCGATGTCCCTTGAGTGCAAAATAGGCAATTAGATGAAAATTACATCGATGACGGTAATGTATCATAACGCGCCGTTACAACACGATGCTCGATCAGCATTATATCGTTACGAAAAGAATTTTGCACTATAGAGGCTTAGCCATCAATTTAAATATAGACTGCTTTTATATATATATATATTTAAAAGGAAATAGAGGTATTGCTTTGCATGGTTGGAAATCAAACTCTTTACAGTAAACGATAACTGTATCGGCAATCAATTGGCAGCCAAATTAATATATAATATATGCAGGCAAAAAGTTATTGGGGTTTATTTAACATTTCATACTTTGCTAAAGAAATTATGTCAAAAATAATAATTGCATAAAATAGACACTTTTTAATGTTCTTAATGATAATGTTCTGCATCTAACAATATATTATGTGAACGCAAGTTATGCTAGGCAGAACGGAACATTTCTTATTTTCCGGCAGCTCTAAGATGTCATTGAAGCTCTAGCTGATTTTAGAAAGTTGAAGGTAATGTTTGAGATATTTTGTTGTGTACAAGGTGCAAGTAATATTGTCCTGTATCGTGTAAATAAGACGTAATATGAGATTCGTGATTTCCAATTATATTTTAAAAAGTTATAAAGTCGAGGACTCGAGAGAAAGCTCGCATTCATGTATATTTATTTGAGCAAATATGTACAAAACATAAAACTAGAGAATATATTCTGTGCGTGAAATAAGATTGTCTTGGGCTATTCATGCTTGTACAGTTTACAAATAGCATGATTAGTCAACTATAAGTGCTATAACATTCGTTTATAATTTGAGAGGGCATACGTATATCGTGCGATATGCATATATACGCATAACGCGCGTACTTTTACACATACGTACACAATCCAGAGAGAGAGTGTAGTGATTAATACACGTAATAAGTTTAAATAATATCTTGGTAAGATCTGATGGGAAACCTGCAACTCCACCATTTTTTATCTGAAAAAAAAAAAAGTATAGCAAATTTATATATACATACATATAATTTCATATAAAATATGGTTATATTAATATGATTATAGAATTTATAATTTCTTTACAAATTTGTTATTAGCTTTTTATGTATGCTGTTGCATGTACAGCTAAAAAAAATTTAGCAGCAGAGAAGCAGGTGCCTTTGAGATCTTTGAGCTAGTCGTAATAGCTGATCCGTCATACATATATGAAAGACTCAAAAAACACTTTTTGTTGCTGTATCGCAAGAAAAGTTAGACATCGAAAACGCCTTATTATTATATACATTAGATAACGAAACGTTGAAAGATATCCATAAAACACATAATAGTATATAATGCGTAATTTTTTTAATGTCGTATACTATTGTTGAAGAGACGTAAACTTTGTTTATCGTAATACAGCAATCTCTAATTAATAATTAAGTTACGACGAAAAAATGTTTTATGATAGTATCGAAAATATTTTAAAATCACGAATTATTATTAATTACTTAGACATTCATCTTTTGTTGCGTAAAAAAAGTTTTCAATTAATATTTCACAGCAAGACGCACTCATGCCTGCCAGCATATTTTTCGAGATATTTCTTTCATAGCCATTCTGCTTCTAGAGAGCCATAAGGACAATAACATTATGTTATCAAAGAACCAGCATGTGTAATATAATCAAGGATAAAAGTGGAAAAATGCAGGATCTTCGCCTTCCTCCTATTTACAAATAATGTCTTTTTGCGCAGTGTTTGTTAAGCTGTTATTGTAATATATTTTGTACCGTCTAATTTCTAAAAATCAAAGTTGATTAATTATTTGTGCTAATACATAGATCTTTTATGTAACTTCCGGAGATAGTTCGGCCAACTATTTCATCTTTTATTATCAACGTTAATACATATATATCATAGATTTATCATTAAATGTGGTATTTCATGAAAGTCACAATCAGTTTCTGAAAACTGATGTACGTAATTAAAATCATAATGAAATATATTATGATCATATGATAAATCCATGATGTATACATAAATATTGTACATAGATATATATATATACATATACACAAATCTCCATAAGTTATAAGTGTATCTATATGGAATGATATATACGTGATTCATTTCTCCTCTCATAATTCACAATTTGTAATTTTCCTATATGTATATATTTTTTTGTAAAGTACAAAATAAAAGTAAAATATATGTAAGGAAACATCGACTATGTATTAGCAAAATAATTGATCGAGTTTAAGGAATTGTATAAAGAATTGTACTTTATTAGTGCAACGTTGTACATTTTGTTGTTTATTATTTGATAATTATCATTAAATATACATAATTGATCGTATATTGTATTTAGCAAGCAAATGTATTAATTTAAAAATGTAATTAATAAATCTATTTCTAGCAAATATTTCGCATTGTGCGTATGTAACAAATACAGTGCTCGCGCATCATTGCAAACAAAGATCTTTATAAATTAATACATTCAAATTTCTCAAAATTGAACTCTATTCTAGTTTGAGTAATCGATATGTTGCGTAAAATACGATTACTTACGATTATCCTAACTTTTTGAAAACTCGAACGAGAATATCGGAGATGATTGAACTTGAATTTTATGAATAATCTTGCATCTCTCATTTTAGCAAAATCCATCTTCATAAAAACGTTTAATCAATTTGCAATATGTATGTGTTACTTTATGAAAAATACTTTATTGAAGCATAGATTTTTATTTTTTCCTCCGTTATAATTGTAGGTAGAAAAAGCGTCACAATTATATATATATATATATATATATATATATTGAAATAATTACCGCTTACAATTGAAAGTGCGGTTTCGAATGCTCTCGCGAGAAAGCTCCATCGATGGTATCGAGGTTCGAAAAAGCGATAAGCAGCGGGCAGCGGGTAGCGATGCTATGCGAGATGCAAGATGCGAGAGCGAGAATAGTGCGGAAAAATTGGGTCGATGCGCGGAAGATGGCGGCCGCTGCGTGATGCGCGTAACGCGTAAGAAGACTCGTAAGTCTAGTTTGGTCGGAAAAACATGAAAGAACGACGGTAAAGATACGTTGCGAAGCGCGACCCGTCGTGCGCCGATACCGTGTATGTACGTAGACAGGCCGCCCTCGTCGGCTTCCGCCTTGAATCGCGGGGGTGCTGCTTTACGTTTTGTTTACGATAAGCGAGCAGAAACGTTGGAGGAAGCCCTCTCTTCTCTCGCGCGCGGCTCCTTGACGGGTCGTCGTCGTTGTCGTCGTCGTCGTCGTCGTCGTCGTCGTCGTCGTCATCGTCGTCGGTTCTTCCTGGGTACGCCGCGCGTTCGCGATCTGCGATCACTCACGGGGTGAGAGTGGCGAGACGCGTTTGCGAGGGGGGGTGGGGGGAAGGAAAAAAGGAAGACACACTCGGAACTCGGAGCGCGCGGAGACCCGGAGAGAGACTGGAGAGATAAAGTGTTGCCGGACTTCGGCCCGGTGGGAAGACCAGTAGAGATGCTGAAGCAATTGCAGATGGGAATGAGAGCTTTCCTCTTAATGGCCTCCCGTGTGTGGACCTGCATCTGCTTTCTACTCAAGAAGCAGGTTAGAGCCGTAAGTAGGTGCTTCGCGCCTTCTTCCGGAGCCAGGGAACTGCGAGGCATGGCATATTACGAATTAACGAATTGCCGCCCTTTTACGACGGACGACGGCTTCCTTCACTCGCTTCTCTTTTGTTTGTCGCGATATTGTGTATGTAGATACTTTACGTTTGTTGTTGATGTAACGTGTAACGTAACACGCTCGGGTGATAACTGTATACTCATTGTCATATAGGTAAAGTACGATAGCGACCCGTTTCTAGCATACGTAGCTAAGCTTTTTTCGTAAAAAATTTATTTTATGAAGCTAAAAATTAAAAATCTTACCATGTGTTTCCCAATTTCTTCGTGATTTCGTCTTTATTATAGGCTATAGATAGCAAAAATACTTTTGTATTTATAAGATTCAGAGTTTTATTCTTCCCCTTTTTGGGACACATTTTTTTATTATAACAAAATTGTTTAATATAATGCACTCTATATGTTTCACCGATTGATATTTTGGCCATATTTATCGTTTCGTATCACTTATGCTTGCTTTCAAAATGTAAGTTAAAAGTGTAGAGTAGAAAGTTAGTTAATACGTTGCCATTTCTTATCTATGTAATCTACGTTTCAATTATAATGCGATGTAAATAATACATTTAATCGCTTTTGGTTTTTTCCTCTAGTCACATGCATCTATAAGTGCATATCAGGCTACTGTGTATAATATATTTATTAAATCATTGTTCTCTCTGAATTACAAAAATATAAAAGTATCTTGTTATTTTGTAACAACGATCAATATTTTTTAAATTTCTTCTTGTGTAGAAAAGCAATTTATGGCTACTGGCATTTGCGTAACTACTATATTTATATTTTTTACATATTACAAATCTACGGTAAATAAATTGCGTGTCTATTGCTTTGTTTTAGATCTCGCAGATGCAACCAGTCAAATATGAAATCTTCCCACTTTCACCTTTATCTAGGCACAGACTTAGTAGGTATCACAATAATGTGCGAATGTTTATATTTGTTACATTACAATCAATATTCTTAATATTTGTGTGTGTAATACGAGAATGTTTCAGGTATAGTTAAGAGAAAAGTATTAGTATTGGATTTAGACGAAACGTTAATTCATTCTCATCACGACGGAGTGGCAAGGCCGACTGTCAGGCCCGGTACCCCTCCTGATTTTGTTCTTAAGGTTACAATAGACAGACATCCTGTTAGATTTTTTGTTCATAAAAGACCGCACGTAGATTTCTTCTTGGACATTGTTAGTCAGTGGTAAGTATTATTGTATAAAAAAGGAAGACCAAATTAAATATTCTATTGAAATCAATCTTGAAATCTCACGCACTTAAACTTTGTACTTCTTATATGTTATCAGATAAGATTACATCAATTATTCTCTCTTATTGTTTCTATATCAATATTATGTTTATAGGTACGAGCTTGTAGTCTTCACTGCATCCATGGAAATTTATGGGGCAGCAGTCGCAGATAAACTAGATAACAACAGAGGTATCTTGAGGCGCAGATATTATAGGCAACATTGTACACCTGAAATGGGTTCCTATACCAAAGATCTGTCTGCAATCTGCTCAGATCTCTCTTCAGTCTTTATTCTTGATAACAGCCCAGGAGCTTACAGAGCTTATCCTCGTAAGTATATATAATTATAATCATTTCTTCTGCGTCGATGAACATAATGTATCAAAGAAAATTGTAAGAAGAGTCAGAAATATTTAGCATATTCTTTTTGTTCATTCTCCAAATTGAGCATAGAACTTTACATTCTTTATATTGAAAAATGTGATATGCGCTTTTTATAAAGATCAAAAAATAATCATGTGTAATTGAGAAACAAACTTTTATTTAATTGCTGTGATCAATCTCGGTTTATAGGAAAGCAATGCGCATAAGAGATAATTATATTTCTGGACTTTGAATGTCTTTCTTATGTATTATTTCTCTTTCTTTATGTCATAGATAATGCGATACCTATAAAATCATGGTTCAGCGATGCGGGAGATACAGCTTTATTAAGCTTACGTCCGTTCTTGGACTCTCTTCGTTTCACGCAGGATGTACGATCCGTTCTTTCAAGGAATTTACATTTACATCATACTTGGTAGCATAGTTGAGATTAAGCGATACACTAGATATTCTAGAAATGAAGCTGTTAACAGTTTCAGTTAGTGTGTCTAGTTTAGGATTATTATTGTTATTGATAATAGCAACATATTAGATCGCTGCCCGTATAATGAGAAACAATGAGAGACCTCCTTCTTCAATCCTTGTTTTTTCTATACTCGACAAACAGCGGCGAGTAAATATCGAAGGGAGGTCATGTATGCAGCCAATAATTATGTCGGCACAAAACATCCTAGGATAATTCTTTATGTTGTACAGTCCCCATGTGTGCAAAATCGTGAAATGAATCTTTTTTTACTTTCTCTGTTATGTAAATCTTTGCCAAAGACCGAAAGATACGAAAATAAGATAGAACTGCTTGCCAGCAGGATTTTTCGTTTTAGGTAAGGATTACTTAAAGTTTTTATTTATATATGTATTCTGGTGGCACACATTACGGAAGGAGGAAGAAGAAAGGAATATCGAAATGCAGTACTTTTGTTATTGTATATTTTTCACCTAGGATGTATAGAGAGAGAATTGTACACTAAGTCAAAGGATTCTGCTGTAGCTCACTGTATCAGTGAGGCAGCTGTCCTGGTTATCTATAATAAGAAGTATTAATATAAAACCAGGAAAAAGAGAGAATCACACCTGTTCTCATCAAAACTTCCGTGAAATGAAATATTACTATAATGATCTATAATGTTGATTACATTGATTGTGTTAGTAAGCGCTCTAACAAGGGGAGTTTATGACATTCACGATTCACCAATACTTTTGCTCTTTTTTTTATATGACGCGGTTGCAACTATTGTTCTATAAGCGAAAAAGCTTTTTAAAACTTCTAATGAAATTTGACTGTAAAAATATACATATATAGCGTTTTTTTAGCCTTTTCATCGACTATCATTATTAAGTGCTGTAAAGCTGACTTAATAACTGTAACAATAAAATGATAAAATTGCTAAGGCAAATCATTCTATACAATTTTCTCTTGCTAACATTTTAGTATAAATACTCAATAATTTGTATAAGAAAACATATTTTATAAGATAATCAAACAGATGTTATATATAAATCCTATATAAAAGAGAAAGTGTTGCAATTTATAACATTTTCTTTAATTGTATATATGTGTTATATTTAAATTTGTATTATTTTATAATAAAACTTTAACTATAATAAATTCGTTATATATAAACTATGCTACATGATTATATTATATTCTTATTATATATATATAAAATTGTTAGTATATTATATACTTACTATATGGACAGTATATATGTATATACGATTTATATATGATGCTATATATAATATTGCACTGTATCATTTTCTTTAATTATTGATATTTAAAATTATGCAACAAAGAGATAAAAAATCTTACAATCTAAAAACTTAATGTTCAGTTGTTATAGCTATATTCGATAAATATGTTTGTATGTTTTATCGAAACTTTGTGACCAAATTTTCTTATATTTAAAAAAAAAAAAGAAATGCACTTTCTCCTTATATATTATTGGATTGCATAAATTAGTTGCTTTATGCTCGCAAAAAGGAAGAGGGTCGATGAATCGCATGTCACGAGTTCTCTTTGTATGGAGATAATGAACTCGCAACATATAACACACATACACTCCTGTGTACTTCGTTCGCTCATTTAATCATATAATAATAATATCAGACATTATACAATTTGTACATATTACTCGGAATGTATTTAATGCAGTGCGACTGATTTTTGTATGAATGATCGATATATAATATAAGTTACGAAATATATGTAGATTCCATCTAAAAAATATTTACATATATGTACATATATATATATGCATACATATGCATTTATATATAAATGTAAAATCGATTTGTTCGTACAATCTTTCAAAAAAGAATAATATGCCCATGCACATAAGATCTAATAACATCAATCATTTCCCAATAAAGAAAGTTTTTTATTTAAATATTTTCTATTTTGTGTATTATAGAATTGCTCTTTCTGTTGTATATAATAATCAATCATTCTCTCAAGATACGATCCATGGGCAATGCATATAATATTCTGAATGGAAATAATGTTAACATCTATTTATTCAATAAAATTATATCTCGACACACGTATACATATACACGTGCGTATCTATAAGTTTGTGACACGGATGTGGACAAGTACTATAATGTAAAAATACACGAGTTTTTCAGTTTGTGATATTAATGTGACACAAAAGTTCATCTTTGATATAAAATTTGAGATTCTTTAGTATGGTACTTTGTATTGTGACTATCTCCGATTTAACTCGAGATTAAAATACCATGATGTTTACATAAAATATTAAGCAGTTAATTTTACAATCTTATTTCCTGGCAAATTGTTACATTTGATTTGTCTTCACATGAAACAACCTGATTCTTACAAATCTACAAAAAAAGTTTCTTACATATTATGTAAATATTTGTAGAATATATTCATTAATTACCATAAATCCCGCAATTAAAAAATCAAAATCATTCCCTCTAATCATCTGAAAACTTTTCAAAAATCATTAATTTTTAATTATATATATTTTCTTCCTATTTATCTTATATTTGTACAGTGATGGTATAAAGTATCAAAGTAAAAAATTATAAACACTGTTTAGATCTTATACAAAGAATATATTTTATTAAATTTGTAAGCAAGGAAATATGCCATTATCCCCATTCATTCAATATATTTATTCGACCAATTTGTTCCTCATCTTATTGTAACAAAGGCGACACAACTAATATATAAAACTGTTTTATGATTTTATCACGAACCTCTCTTCAAAGGTATTCTTTGTAATGGTTGATATTAAAACATTCAGAAAATCACGAATTTTACTAAAAATATATATTTCAGCTATCAGTATATAGGATGTTAAAAAAGAAAAGGTTCTTTTCACAGAATTCTTTCTAATCCTGAACCGTTTTTATTAAAAACCCTATATAATTCTATTTGTATAAAAATAACACATCTTTGATTTTAAATAAAAAAGGTATCTATTTTTGACAATAGATTGAAAACAGATACCTTTTGATTTTAAAAATAATATATTTTGAATACAGTATAATATTGAAAAACCATCATCCGTTTCAACATATTATGCAGAGTATATCGTACATTGAAAAATATCGTTATATCTGATTATATGATATACGAAATTCCTAAATTTATTCTTTGGGCGGGTCTTCTCGGATCATTTCCAAAGAACTATCTGAATTATTGGTACTACTTCCACTTCCAGCATCATCCTCTCGTTCAGTTGCCTTTTCTTGACTTACGTTTGTTGTATCCAACTGCCATGGTGGAATAGAAGCAGGGGCACTAGGAAACTGTTTCCTAATTTAAACATGTTGAAAATTAGTAATAGATAATAGATATAATTATAGATAATATTATAGATTAATTTGTAAAAATTTGAAATTTAAAATTAATTTTTCTCGTGTATTACATAGATGAATATGAGAAGATATGTGTGTACATATATAATCTAATCAGAAAACCGTTTACAATAAAAGATTGATTCAAGAGCGCAATTGGTCAAAAATAGATATAAGATGAGGAAAAGCACAAATTTATTGATATATTTTAAAGCTGTATTTTGTAAAACCATATAAAACTCTTGTTTTTTAAAAAAATTATCAGGGCATCCAAACGCGCAAGTATCAATTTTTTAAACAATTTTGAATAAAAATTGTACATGTACATGAGTGTGTGAAGTGTGAGGTTGTGACGATGATTGATCTCTTGTAAAAAGAATTATCTTAATATAAGCAAATACTACATACGAGAGCAAAATGGCAAATAATGTCTAAATGAAATAATCTCATTGTATGGCAATAAATTGCTATTACTGACCTATATACATTATTATCTGTGATATACAGACTGTCCTATTTTAAATCATGCATGTGAATATCCTTGAAACCATTTATTATATCGAAAAATATTTTAAATAAAAATTAAATAGTTTTGAGGGATCAGAACTGGAGAATCCGAAATGTATGGATCAATGATGTATCCATTAATAATATCACACATTAAAAGATCACTAATTTTGATCTGGAACAAGATGCTAATATGAATAATGTTCAATCCAATAATAACAGTTATGCCAATTGATTTGTCCTCTTAGAAAAAGTAAATTTTACATATTTATTTTGTTAGAACATACATATACAAAAAAAATATACATTCCGAATATTTCACGTTCAAGGAAAGAACTCGGAAAGACAGAATCGAAATTAATAATACAAACAAAATTATTGATATTGATAGATTATGTTTCCAAATTTAAAATGGGACATTCTGTTTATTAATACCGAAGAAACAATATAAGAACACAAAGAAATTGGATATACCTTGATAAAAGTAAAGCTTTTAGACTAGACAAATCTTGCTTCAGTTCATGCACCAATTGTGGAATAGTAGGATCCAATGCTTGATGCTGAGTCAATTTTTGCACCTCACTTTCCATCTTTAAAATTGAGGCTTTCATTTCTTTCATGGAATCTTGAACGGTCTTATCTAATTCGATTATCCTGTCTTCTACGGTGCTCTTCTTTTTTCGACCAAATAAAAAGGATTCTATAAATTTCTGCAAAATTAGAAAGCGTCATGTTTGATTAATGTAAGATAAATGAGATATTATCCTATTCTTCTTATTTTGCATATTAAAATACAGAAATGGTAAGAGGAAATGCAAAATTGTTAGAAACTTTTCACAATATCTTATATAAAATCAGTTATACTAATTTCTTTGCGCTATATAAAATACCTTATAAAGCCAATAGACAAAATATGCTGTTGCGCCAATAAATGCAGTCACATTAAAGATATCTTTGACTTTTTGCAAAAGTGTCAATTGGTAAACATTTGTCGGATGATATGGATAGATAGGTCCTTGTGACATTTGTATAGCGGTGTACGGATTCTGATTCTGAAGAGCATTGCGATCGGCCGTATTGTCAACAGATGCTAGCTTGAAAGCTGTTTTAATCTCTTCATCCGTCAGGCCTTTTCTTTTAAGAAATTCTTGCTTTTGCATTAACGGACTCGATGACACTTTGGGATTTTGTAGAAACTGTACTGCCGTTTTCACCTTTAAAATACAAATTTACATTAAAACAAAGGAATAAGTGAAACTTTACTATACGCGCGCATGCATAAATCTACGAAGTAATTACTGATGCGCGAAATAATTATTTTTTACTTTTATGTAACCTGTGCTGATTTTTGTGATAACTTACTAGACTCTCCCGTAATGAAAGAGCATTATTATTTGTATCTTGATTGGTCATTCTGATTAGTCTTCGACCGCGCGCGTTCGACTTTTATTATATATTTATAATTAAAACGGCATTACTCTGTCCTAGTCCTACATTACTAAACTGCAAATCACATTTTTCTGTCCGCGACTGTTCGTCCGTGATAAACAATCCCAGCTATCCCAGCGCATACGACATGCGACTGCGCGGGAGGATGATCAATTATAAATTATAATCGATAAAACGCTATCTAGACTCATTCTCGCTTTTCTTGAAACCGAATTTTATGATTTGTGACTGTCAATAATGCAGAACACGTGTTATATTACAAGAAATTTTTGTTTTGATAAAAAATGTTGCAATCACGGATAAGTATATTTAAAAAAAAAGAAAAAAAATGAGAGCAAGAAGGAAAGAAAAACAAAAAATGGCGCCGCCGTGCCATCTTTCGAACACTTGGCGAACTCCTTAGCGTCACAATCGTATCAACTTGAAAATCTAATATGGCGTTTATTGCAGAAGCAGCTGCTTACGTTATTTGAAAATACGACTCTCCGTGACTGGTGCGATCGGCCGAAAGGTGGTGAAGACCATACGCTTACGCTAAGCTACTGATTTACTCGGGCCCCTCGTGTCGTAATCTCAGCAATCATCATCGTCATGACGGATCGAACTGAACTGAGGATGAACGTGGCTGCGTTAAAACGAGTCGACCCTTACGTCAAGGATATCCTGGAGACCGCGACCCATGTCGCTCTATATACATTCAACGGAGACGAGAACGAATGGGAAAAGACCGACATCGAGGGCGCTCTATTTCTCTATTCAAGAAACGGCGAGCCATACAACAGTATTCTCATAATGAACAGGTAGCATTCATTTCAATATTAATGAGAAAATTTAGTATATAACGCGTTATGTCGCAAATGGTTTACTCGAAAGATTCGCAAACTATTTTAATCCAACTTTTACAATATCTTTCTTGCATCTTTCTATTTATACTTTTCTTTTTTAGTAATATTGATAATATATGTAATCATATGTCAGAAAAAGGAAAATGATATCTGTTGCAGATTAAACACGAACAATCTAGTAGAACCAGTCGCTCCAGGTTTGGATTTGCAACTGCAGGAACCATTTCTGCTATATAGAAATTCCAGATGCAACATCTATGGTATTTGGTTTTATGAAAAAGAGGAGTGCATTCGTATTGCAAGCATGTTGAACAAACTTTTGAAGGAATGCGAAGAAAGTCGCAAGATCAATAGCAAGCCGCAAAATAAAAATAAGAAAATCTTAGGACCTAATGTAAACAACGTGGATATATTCAGTATGCTCAGCAAGGCGCAAGAAGACTTTAACACAAGCAGAGTCGGTGGGGGTGAGGGAGGTGGCGGTGGCGATAGCGGTAACGCGATAATCGGATCGAAGTCTCCGTTGGTTACACCAACGACCGACAATATTTCTGGTTCGTTATCCGCTCCCTTAGGACCTGACGTCACTTCGCAAAGTGTAATGGATTTCTTTGCTAAGGCTAAGGTTAGTAGTATCGTATCTTACTCGCTCTACTTTAGAGCAAAACGTGTATTCGATTCTTTATTCATTGCTTGTAAATATATTGTCGGCCAGGTGAACACTGGGCAATTTAAGCCAGGCGATCAACCTACTTCGGGAGCGACTGTTGTAGTCGAGTCGACTAAACCTCTACTCGCGCGTTTAATGTCCTATCCCGCGGCGCACACTTTAGAACATATTGAGAAACATATCGAGAAACAGAGATCTATAACGCCGCAGCCCACTACTCATCAGTCGCAACCGACGATGATTTCTGCGGCGAACAGATCTAAAAGGCGGAACAAACCGACTTCCCAACAAGAGTCCGTAATGTCCACGTCGGCGCCGATCTCGCAAGATCTACCGCTACCTGTAACTCAGAGCGTTAACGACTCGAACGGAACAACTGGATTCCTCAGGATACAATCCCCAACCAATACACCAACGTCGTCTACTTTAAGAAATCATCAAGCTTCAAACATCACCAATACCAGCAATGCTAATCCGCTTGCGTCATTATTTGCTCACGCCTCCGGAAGCACAGTAAGAAATGTTAAAAAATTCCGTAATCTATCTTGAATTTATTAAATATATATGCATATTTTAATTCTCGCTTCTTCTATTTGATCTAGTTATCGGACGACATTATTCCGGCAGCGCCAACGTTGTCAGGAAGAGGATCGGCGCCAGCGTTAATACCTCCCGTAATGTTTGCTGCTCCCAGTCCACCCGAGCCTTTAAGCAGACCATTAGAACCGTTGACGAGAAATCAGCTTTTACAAGCGTTCAATTATCTCTTAAAAAGTGATCCGGATTTTATCAACAAACTTCACGAGGCCTATGTCAAATCATTCGGAGAGATACTTTCCTAAAACGATAACATTTATTATTGTAATATTATTCCGGAAAAACCCATGTTATGTGGGTTGTGACTGATAAACAATTAAACTAAATCTCGATATTTCTATGTTACATGTGCATGTACATACATATATAGACGACAAGACGCGTAATTTCACGCTGGAAATTTAACTTGACTTGAGATGATGAAAAGCGCTTCTTTTAAAGGAAAGGAACATTTCTTTTCTGGCCGAGGATTAGAAAACAAATACAGGAATAGAAAGCGATACAGTATAATACCCTGAACAGTATTTTTATAAAGCAATGCACCTTTTTTGGAACAGAGTAAAAAAACAATGTGATCCGTGAAACGAAACATGTAATGAGTGAGAAGTTTGTGCAACAAATTGAATGATATATACGAGAAAAGTAATGAACATTTTTTAGACTGTGATGCCAAAACGTTTATATTACATGCGCGTCTTTTATGAGATTAAAATCGCACGATATCATATTCTGAGTTGGTCAAACGGAACACTTATTTTATAGAGTAATGACGTATCCTTCCTCTATATATACCGGATACCAATATGGTATGTATATGTTATCAATGAAAAGGAACAAATAAATAGAGACAAAACATGATACATCGAGAAGACGCTTAAAAATACACTTTACTTTGATTTTTTTTTCTTCGCTTCTCACACGTAACACAATGTAAAACAAAATTTAGACAGATCTCTACATATATTTATTTAGTCATCATTACGTCGTGTACTATATATCACAATATAGTGCTTATACGGAATACGCTTAAAATCATATAGTTAAGTTCCTAAAAAGTATGCTCTCTTTCACAAATTTAATGGTTTTGACTGAAGTCGCAACGGCACAACAAAATTATGTCAATTATTGTACAAATTTATTTCCCGTTACGAGATAATTTGTGAAATGTAGTCTTTCCTCTTACTTTACTCGAGGGCTACTATTTTGTAAATAAAAATTATGTATAATAATTGTTTACATAGGGAACAAGAATTCACGATGATTGCAACGTTAACAGATCGCGCTCACGCGAGTTACATCGTAATTCGAGCAACATCGTCAAATTCAATATGATAAAAAATACATATATAGGTACATATATCTATATTTACAATCTTACAACGACACAGAAACTGTATGCACTGTATTGTCGCGTAATGTCATGTTTAGAGGGTGTCAAAGTCTCGACTCCTCGTTCTCACTCTTAGATCTCACGCCGCCGCGACGACGTTTCGAGGAAATGCAACAAGTAAAATACGTACTAATCGTTACGATATAATTTACAATAGTTGCTTTCTTCGTAAAATTCACAGCCAAGTGGGGCCTCCGACGGCCCGCTAGCTTTCTAGATAGCCTTATGGCTGGACTCTTTTAGTATATGACTCCGGCGCATCTCTATAAAATCTCGCAGAAACCTGCATACTTGTGTATTAAAAAAAAAAAAAAAACACATACCGTAAGAAATTAATGGAGTTGAAACAAAGTTAAATATTGGGATAAGATTACTATTTATTGTAAAGTAATTTTATCCAAAGTATATATCTACCGCGATCAAGATTCTAATATACGAATGCACGGCATTCCTCCGCTACACAAGTATACGTATATGGCACAACTCCCGATTGTCCGTGAGTCATATACTAAATTCAGCTTTACTAATTAAACTATTATTTCGAACACCTTCGTCGAGAAACTTCGTCTTTGGATCGCGCGGAATTTCTTAAACCAGAGGCACTTTCGGTGGTCCAAGTAAGGGCGGTCCGTTGTCGGATGTCCTACACGGCACAAACTTGTTTGTATTTTGCGGCGGCATGGGATGGAGCCATCTGACAGCCAGACTGGAGATGATCAGCAGGGCGACGAATCCGCAGATAGCCACGATGATCGCACTCGGAAACCAACGGACCGTCGCCTGGCCTCCATCCTGGCCTCCATCCTGACCTTCGTCCTGACTGTTCGGATGTAATGGCGCCAAGTATGCTCGCTCATCGCTGATCATCGCTACAACGATATTATAAATGAGCAACGAATTAGAGAGTCGAGAAGCAATTGACGAGTATATTCTCTGTAAATTTAGAAAGGTACTTTCGATAAAAAAAATATGTTTAATTCGATTGATATTGTGCGAGAATAAAGCAAGATTCTAATCGCACGTGGTGATATCTAACTATTGGACGAATCAAGATATTACATTGCAATGATCGAAACATGACAGGAATGATGAGAACGGTACGCTAAACACGCGCAGAGAGAGAGAAAGAGAGCGATTGTATCGAACCTCGTAGAGTCTTATTGAGTCTGTTTCTCATTGCAGGATTATCCACATGGTTGCAGAGATCCTGGTCGCAGCAGAGGTATCCTGCGGGGCATTGGCGATTTTTGAAGCTTTCGTCCAGACAACCGCTGTGTTCCGCTCTCGAGAGCGGCGCGTTCGCGCTTGATGGTAACTCTGTGAAGCATCCTCTACCGCGACACATATACCCTTGAGGAACGCATTCCGGTTTATTGCAGTAGCATCTCACTTCTCCCACTTTTGAAGAATCTGAAAGAAGAAAAAAGACCGATACGGTAATCTCACAATGAAATACTTTTAAAATCGAATGTTGAATGGAATAATTGAAAAATGAAGAAATATACATATATACGAATATCTAGATATGCGCGTTATATAAGTCAGAAATGAAAAAAGCCGCGCGTGAGATTGAGACGAGGTATAAAATTTTTCAGACATTTCAATTATTCCAGTTCGGATAATTTTGCAAATGTATTACATTAAAAAAAAAAAAAAAAAAAAAAAAAAAAAAAAAAAAAACAATAGAGATTAAACTCCAAATATTTTTCGATGTATTCGAATATATATTTAGCGCTTTTTAATTTTGTTAGGCTTAAGAATTCTGTTGTACTATTGTCGCGATTATTTTTTTAAATGAACGATAAAGTGATTTAGTCACTTTCAGAAAGTCGAGAGGATCTGAACTATCCAATTTCTCAAAGCTCTCTTGAAGCGCGCATATAAATCGTTCGCAAGGAGGGGAGAAGTTGTCTTTACCGAGATTTCGAACGAGAAGTCTGACAGCGCCAGAAAAATTTTGTACCAGCACACAACGAGGGTGGCCGCATCCCCGACGCGACTGCGTTAATGAAAACCGTACGAGATAAAGGAAGAGAAAGAGGAGGAAAAAGAGAAAGAGAGATAGAGAGACGAGATACGTTTATTATGATATTGCGAGGCCATCTTTATCCGCGAGCATGCTCGGCTTCGTTTGCCCCAACCCCCGGCTCTAACCATCTTGCCGATTCCCCCTCGCGACCTCGTCTTTCCCCACTGGTTTCTTGCTAATAAGCCCGCAGCGATGTGTCTTGCTGCCTGCCTCCGTCTCTCTTCTCTTTATCCTGCTCTCCCTTCGCCAGCGAGCGCCGGCCCTCTCTTCGTTCGCGGCCTGTCGGGGTCCACCAACTCTCATCGGGGAATAAAAAACGCTAAAACAGCCGAGTCACAAAAGAAAGATTAAAGTGGAGAGGATATATGGAGAGAGGCATGCGGCGCTGCCGCGCGTATCTCGTCTCCTTCTTTCTTGAAGCAACTCTGCGCCAAATAACGCGGGAGACAAAGAATAGGGCCACTTGAGACGATACCATCGCGGCGATTACGTATTTCGCGAATTGGAAAATTACACGTAGACTCTGTGAAGTCGCAAGTATATAGTTTCAGTTTCTCGGTATGTTCTCCTGTTAAATGTGCATATCTTGATGATGAAACCTTTCCTTCGTTTCAACATTCGTTATTATATACATTTCAATATCTTAACAAAATATTAAATATGCAGTACATATTTCTTATTATAATTTTTAATGATAAAAAAATGGAGGGAAATGTTATGCAAGTGAAAAATGTTGATCTTATACAAGTTATTCAGCTTTTTTCAATACATTTGCGAATCTAGTATTTAAAACTTAAGTGGCTCTATATTTTTCCTTCTTATGAGTGAAAAACATTAAAAAACACGTACAATAAAAAAAAAAATATTTTCAAAAGTTGCACCAAGAAATTTTTAAAATATTCTCGTTACCTGGAATTTTGAACAAAAATATCTGGAAGATTAGAGAATTTTCAAGGAATTTTTTTACAAGATTTGAGAGTAGACACCCTGGTAATTCTTTTAGCTTTGATTTTTTTTTTTTTCGTGCAATAATTGTTGAATAGGCATACTTTTCAAAGAAACGTATTGAGAAATTGTTACTGTATAGTTGAGTCGTAATAAGAAACAGTAGCTTCTGAAAAGAGACTCGAAAGAAGAGGCACTCGGAAGACAATCCCGTACATGTGTGCGTGCGCGCGCGTTTAAAATAAAAAAAAAAAAAAAAAGGGAAAGGGGGAAAGCAGCGGGAGGTCGAGGGGCTCCTCCGGAACTGAAATCCCCTCCAATTTTTTGGGATATCGATCGACGTTTGTGTGCGAATCATTGCAGCGATTTCGAAATTGCTTGGTCAAGTGATCAACGAAGCCAGATCGTCAGATATTGGCATTTCATTTTTTTTTTTTTTCGTTACGTATTCGCGAAGAAAGAAATACGGCGGAGATGTTCCATTAGGAATATTATGGTAGCGGTGAGAATTATAAACGACTCGCAGATCGAAAAAGAAAGATGAGCTGGGATCGAGAATCACGTCCGACGAATACGCGGACGACCTGGATCGTCAGATATTGGCATTTCATTTTTTTTTTCGTTACGTATTCGCGAAGAAAGAAATACGGCGGATATGTTCCATTAGGAATATTATGGTAGCGGTGAGAATTATAAACGACTCGCAGATCGAAAAAGAAAGATGAGCTGGGATCGAGAATCACGTCCGACGAATACGCGGACGACCTAGCGACCGCGAGACACCTGTTCGTACCTACAAGCGGATGGGTTATGAACTCGCAAAGTTATGCGAAAAGGGAAAAAGGGACAGACGGCTCATCAGCATCACGTGGAGAGACGAAAGGAGTGGCCGAAAGAGCGCTGGCGATGAAGAGGACCGGTCCGTTCGTCGAAGGAACTCGTCGTCGTCAGCGGATCATGAGAAATTTTTGTTGAGAGACATGAGCGCTCGCGATTCGAAAATCACATGCGTACAATCATATGAGCCATTCGATGATCTTGTCATAACCGTGAAAAAAATTTGAAGAATATTAAAATTTTGCAGCACGCATAATTTTGATTAGAAGGGAGCAGGTCTCTCTTGTTGAAGCGATGCTGGGACTGATCAGTGGTCGAATAAATTTGTCAATCGTAATAATTCTTTAAAAATAAGATATAATAGGATATCCATTTTGTAATTACATCGAGAATAATTATTTTCAGATAATTTTTCCACTTATCGGCTTTTAATTTCATTTCTTTATATATATATATTCTTTTTCTATTTTCTTCATTTTTTTTTTCGTTACGTATTCGCGAAGAAAGAAATACGGCGGATATGTTCCATTAGGAATATTATGGTAGCGGTGAGAATTATAAACGACTCGCAGATCGAAAAAGAAAGATGAGCTGGGATCGAGAATCACGTCCGACGAATACGCGGACGACCTAGCGACCGCGAGACACCTGTTCGTACCTACAAGCGGATGGGTTATGAACTCGCAAAGTTATGCGAAAAGGGAAAAAGGGACAGACGGCTCATCAGCATCACGTGGAGAGACGAAAGGAGTGGCCGAAAGAGCGCTGGCGATGAAGAGGACCGGTCCGTTCGTCGAAGGAACTCGTCGTCGTCAGCGGATCATGAGAAATTTTTGTTGAGAGACATGAGCGCTCGCGATTCGAAAATCACATGCGTACAATCATATGAGCCATTCGATGATCTTGTCATAACCGTGAAAAAAATTTGAAGAATATTAAAATTTTGCAGCACGCATAATTTAGATTAGAAGGGAGCAGGTCTCTCTTGTTGAAGCGATGCTGGGACTGATCAGTGGTCGAATAAATTTGTCAATCGTAATAATTCTTTAAAAATAAGATATAATAGGATATCCATTTTGTAATTACATCGAGAATAATTATTTTCAGATAATTTTTCCACTTATCGGCTTTTAATTTCATTTCTTTATATATATATATTCTTTTTCTATTTTCTATTTATTATTATTATTATTATAATTTTTAAATCAATTTTATTCAGAATTGCTATAAATTATTAATTGGCATTTTATATATATACATGTAATTATCTGTTGTAGGCGCTCAAAAAGAAGCAATCTTGCGAAAAATAAATATCTCCGCTACTATCAATATTACAAAAGAAAGAAAAATGTTTTCGTCATATTTGTGAAAATGCGTCAGATCAACGCCGCGGGAATCATCACTACGGTAGTAACTTCCTATAACTTTCTAGAACGCATCGTTTAAAGAAGAGAGAGAGAATAACAGGTAAAATATTTTCGCTATGCG